CGAGAATTTTTTTCGAGATTTTCGAATAACATGACGAAAAAAATAATAGTGTCTTCTTTTTTTCGATAAAGAATTAAAAAAAATATATATATTTCTACACAGATGCATATTTATTTATTTATTTGAATTTATTTATCAACAAAGAGTTACATTACAAAAAAAATATTGGGGTGTAAATATTGTATGGAATGACCCATATGTATGATTATTTTATTGTAGAGGAATGTGAGCACCGTTTCTCCAAAACAAGTGGATAAAAAGTCCTGTAGAAGTTAGAATGGAATCTTTCAATTTGAATAATGTTTGCTTGTTTGCGTTAAGTACATATCGACCCCTTAATGCGACTTTATCGTAAGGGACGAATCATCTAAAACAATTTTTTGGTTGCAAATAGGTTACAAATACGCGTTACAACGTCCTACAAAATCACAGACTTTGAATATTTACCGTTACGGAAATAAAGCAAAATGAATTTTATCTTTGCTGAGACTTTTGAGATCCTATCATTTTATAGTAAGCGACACTGTGTGTATAGAACTTTATTGTAAATACCAGTTTGAACTGTAGTTACAACCAAAGTTCCATCGGCACTTGCTAGAACTGATTGTTTAAAAATCAGCTTCTTTCCCTCATTAAAATTAAGTGCAATCTGCCATTATGATATTGCAGCTGCCATCACTAAGTGCGACGGGGCTCGTCTAGCAGTCTTTTTTAAAAACTCTTGCTTTGCAAAGGGGTTATAAGATTGTAAAGGATATCATAAAGATGAAAAACTGACATTTAAAGGGGCTCATGTTCTTATTTTATGCCCTCGTATAGAAAAAATTACAACTGGATTCGAATTGCCATCTTAACACCAGCTTACACGGCCATATGGATTCATATTTTCGAAATTAATTAATTTTGCCGTTTATCTCCTTTCAAATTGCTTTTATGATTTTGATTTTTTCACTCTAACACGTCAGCCTTCTTTTATAAAATTGCAGTCTTTGATTTTAATCTCTAGATTAAACATTTTCGTTAAGCAGTTTTTTCTTCAATAACTAGGTTTAAAACACACGACTAGTCGAGAAATATAACAACTGATTTCAAAACATGCCAAAAATGTCCCTAATATGAAGATTTTGGCACCAAACCTATTCTGGTCAAAATTTTACTTTTTTCGCATTCTTTACATAAAAAAACTCAAAAAATACCAAATAGTAACGCTTACATGGTCGTTTTAGTTTGTTGGAGAATTGAGTGAGCGTTAACACTGTATCCACGAAGAAAGTTTGGGGATAATCTGGTAGATGCACCGAACAGTTAAAAATTGAAAATACGTTGAGCTTATTCTGCTGATTGCCAGTGCTTATATGTATTTAACTGACTTAAAATTCAGTTTTTCAAACAATGCTTAAAGAACCCGCACTCCGTCGTTTATAAATGTCCAGATTATACAACAAAAAACTATCGCAAGCGCCAATTCTTTCAAAAAATAAATAGTCCTATTGGAAAGCTGCCATTCAATAATGTTCTTGTCCATTTAAATCCAAATAAATTTTTGCACTGTCTAAGAATTAAAAAAAAAACTCTTCTGTAAAATTTTCATTTTGTCGCTTACGATAAAATCGCAATCAGGCGTCGATATGTTATCAAAAATTCGCTCTGAGAAAGGTGTAATTTTTTTAAATGTAAAGCAAGCTTGGGATATTATTCCAAGAAATAACTGTCGAAAACAGCGAAATGATAACTTGAGTGATTTTTGAATAAACTCTACCGAAGCACATTTTTATATCAAACAAAATGGTTTCGGAATGTAATGTAATTCCGGAATAATATTGCCATTTAGCCATAATTACTCATTGGACTTAAAAAAAATTGCCAAAAATAGTGTTCTTTGGAAAAAAACATGCAAAAATAATTTTTTTTTTTTTATATTTTTATATTTTATAGATTTTGAAACGAGAAACACAATCCCACTGTTTAAAAATGAAAAACCATGCAAACCCCCAGAGTCATTTTTTATGATTTGCTTGCAGCTGTGTATCTCTCTATTCTCTAATTCTCTAAGCCCTTTGGAAGCCAAATCATAAGGATTTTGAAGTTAAACTTGGAAATTTCATTCGAAATTTTTGCTCTTTTTTTTTTGTTTCTGAGTCAAATCTCGTACCGAGTGCTCTTGAGTGCTTTTACTCCTTTGCGGACTTTTGTACAATAATTGCACAAATTTGAGGTAGCCATAATAGCTACCCAAAACAACTTTTGAATATTTTTTTTTTTACTTTTGGTATAATGATGGTCGCTCTATGAACCTTGTAATTAATTGTTAATATCTATAATGTACAGACATCGGTCTGTTACAATTTTATTATATGTATAGTAATCCTGAGAGGCCTGAGCAAAAAGTAACTTTCCTAGTATATTCAGCGACCTCGAAAACATATTATAAGATCTTGCAAAACTTAAATTTCCTGAGGTATTTCGCGTGCGCTCGGATTGAAGGACGAGCAATTTTGTGTAAAACAACATGGACTTGAGCGACCTCTAAATTTTTTGTTTTTTTTTGTTATCAATGTATGTTTTTTAATTCTTTTAAATAGGAACACCAATTTGCGTGAGCACTGAGTAATATAAAAAAAAGGATTTCTTGGACCACTCTAATGTACATATGTACAGTATCGGTCATATCTATAGCATGCCATTTCAAAGTGATATTGTGTGCCACTTATGTTTATTTATTTATTTTTAAGAATTTTCAATTAAAATACAGTTTTTTCTCTAACAAACCCCATATAAACCCAAGTTTAACAATTTGAGAAAACTTCAAAAAAGTGCAACAAATTTTCACCTAAGTTTCAAACTTTTTTCTCGGAAGTGTTAGAATTTTTTCGAGTACACAGTTTTTTAGCCACTGCTATTTTATTTCTGACAACGTGCAAATTTCAAGTGGCAACGAATTGCCGTTAATTTTTTAGAATTTTTTTTTGTCGCATTGGCTTCTATATAATGAATAAACTCAATTTATTTGTATATGGATGAAAACTCGCAACACCATTGGCGAAAAAAATTCTAAAAAATCAACGGCAACTTTAGTCACTTGAAACTTGCACATTATCAGACTAAAATTGATTAGGCTAAAAAACTGTGTACTCGAAAAAATTCTAACACTTCCGAGAAAAAAGTTTGAAACTTAGGTGAAAATTTGTTACACTTTTTTGAAGTTTTCTACAAATTGTTAAACTTGGGTTTATATGGGGTTTGTTAGAAAAAGAACTGTATTTTAATTGAAAATTCTCAAAAATAAACATTAGTTGCAAACAATATCACTTCGAAATGGCGTGCTATAGATATGACCGATACTGTATGTAGTGTTATGTTAATACATATCATATACAACATAAATGTGTATTCATATGGATTAATTTTTCAATAAATTTAAAGGTGTATGTATATATGTATGTAAATAGCCATAACAATAGTAAGCCTTTTAGATTATCGCTTTTACATATGTACACATGCATGTGTATACATATGTTTCTTGGCAGTCTGTTCTTCTTTTGTGCAATTCGAAGTTTTTGATTTTCTTAATGGTTAACGTTTAGACAACTCCAAAAGTGAAAACAAACACTTTCGAAACAATGGTAGATTGATATATTTTACTCACTCTTTTTGGGTTTGCCCTTAATTTTGAAATTATTTAATTTTTTGTTTTGCGTTTTCCATTTTTCTGCAATTCCAATTTAAACAATAAAAGACCTTAATTCCGATTCGGTTACGAACACTTTCACAAATCGTAGTCAGCAACGAAGTGACAGACAATACGAAAAAACACGTAGAAGAGGTTAACACAAATACAGCACATGCATTAATTTTTTATTGCCAGCTTCAATGTATGTATGTATATAAAAATGTATACATATTTGACTAACTAGTTATTCGAAACTTTAAAAAGTATCACCGTCAGCGTTTTTCAATTTGATGCGGCAGAATTTTAAATTGTCAAACTTTATGCACATAATAGTTAACTCACAGAACAATGAAGCGTATTTTTTCACATGTACTGCATGTGCATACATATGTACATATATAGATTTGTATGTAATTCATGTACGAGGTACTTATGAGCTAATCACTTAGAATCGTTGATACGTATAGTTTAATTTACTTCGACTTTTAGCTTTTCGCAGAGTTAAGAACGTGATAAAGAATGGAGAAAACAAATGCCAAAAGCGACACAAGAAAGATCAACATCGCAATTTAAACACTCAGCATAAACACAAACACAGAAAATACACTGTCGAGCAAAATACCCTCATATGTACGTAGATAAATATGTACATATGCACATACTTATATCCATACATGTGCATGCATAGGTGTAACTTTAAATTTACTGATGTGGATGTGTGACTAGCAATCGACGACCTGCTCCGCAACTGTTGCTCGCAAGTAAAACTCGTATACGCACATGCTACATAAGTATATAGCATATATGCATGCAAACATACGTGTTATATATATATATGTGTGTATGCATNAACTGTTGCTCGCAAGTAAAACTCGTATACGCACATGCTACATAAGTATATAGCATATATGCATGCAAACATACGTGTTATATATATATATGTGTGTATGTATATGTGTAACTGTATGAATATACTTATACTACGTGTATAAGTATGTACATTAACACTTTGGCTTTGCCAGTTGACACGCACCTCACTTTGCACTTGTTGCAATTGCAATCGTTTGTTGTCGGTTATTGTTGCAATGTAAAAGTGGCCAACAAGTTCATAATTTCAAGTTGTTGCTTTGCTTCTGCCTCTTTGCTGAGGAAAGTAGTCGCAAGTGCAACTGACGTCGCAAAAGAAAGCAAAAAAAAAATCACAAAAGAACGTCTCAACGCGCTGTACACAACCAGAACGATCGACGCTTCCAAGATGACTAAACTCTACTTTATTTCCAAACAAGCTCACTGCCTCTTCGGAGTAGGCACAGTAAATAGTGTACATACATATGAACATTTGTGCATACAAATGTATAGATATGCTGTTGGAATATTGGAGTAATGAGGCTTTCGCACGAAGCGATTTTTCAGGCAACTTTTGCGTTCAACTCACGCAAGGTTGCACGAAAAAAATTGAATGGCTAAAAATATCAAAATATATGAATATATCAAAATATTCGCCATAAAAAGGCGTTTGCATTGTTCAACTTTGCATTCTACTTTTGGTTGAACGGCCTTTCAACAAATCGCTTTCAACAAAGTTGGTCGCCAGCCAACATTCAGCCATTCAACTTTTTTTACGTGCAACCCTGCGTGAGTTGAACGCAAAATCGCCTCGTGCGAATACCTTTTAATGGAGCTCACAGCACTGGAAGAGGACACTTGAAAAACTCGCTGATGATTCAAATTCTCTGACTGGAATTACATCATATGGAATACTCCCTGCTTAAAACTAAGAGCACCGATCGAAGAGCAGAATCCAATAATAATAGCACAACTCTCTTTTAACTCTGGAATATCGCTGGTCTCCCCCAGTTTACCAAACGAGACAGTGTTGCCGTTTTAGTTTATTTACCAAAATTGGTTCATTTTTTCTTTCTTTATCATATTTGTTAATTTGGTAATTTATTTTTCAGTTTGGTATCTTTTTCAAATCGGTTTAAAATGTTTCTTAAATCGAGTAGATCGCTCTGCCACATACATATCGTCGTTTAAAGTACAAAACCGCGTAACTGATATTTGCTGCCAAAAATTGGAT